GCCGTCATCACAACTGCTTTCCCCGGCCTGCCTGGAGCTCCTCCTTGGCCCTCCGGGGCCCAGCTCCGCCGCGTCCTTGGTGCTCCCTGCACCCGCAACCCGGCAGAGGTGGGGCTTCCCGTCTGTGGTCTGCCGGCCCTGCTACAGCCCTGCCCACGGTCCGTACTGCTGCGCCTGTCCCTGTTTGGCCACCCCAGGAGGCAGGGAGCAGGTCTGCTCGTCTCCCCCCTCCAGAGGGGAACAAGGAGTGATTGTCCGAAAAGGACACAGGGAAGATGGGACAGACATACTAAAGGTTACTGACCCAGGGGAACATGACAGTGGGGAGGGCGAGGCTGAGATGAACCAGACCCCATAGGACAGCTCTGAAAAGAAAGAACGGAGCCTAGCAAGGCCCTCCAGACTCTTCCAAAGAGACCCTTGCCGGTGTTGACATCTTGTGCCCTCCAGCCCTGCTTGGCAGGTGCCCACGTCTGCCGCCTGCCCTGGCCAACACAAAGAGCCTGGCTCCCAGGGAGCCATCCCTGTCATCCCTACCTCAGAAGGACCAGCTCCTCCCAGAGTAGCAGAGTAAAGAGCTGGGGTTTAGAATCAGCCAGACTTGGGTCGGAATCCAAGCTCTACATTCATGACAGCGGGAATACAGTCTCCAAGTCTCAGTTTCCTCATCTGTCAAATGGAAGAGTTGTGAGGACTCAAGCTCCAGCCCCACCCAACTTCTCAACACTGTGCACTTGCACTTCGCCACATTTTTGACCAGGCCAGCCCCTCCTGCAGCACAAATCCAAGTTCACAGGCACAGGATCCGAGTTCAAGCCCAGCACCGCCCGACTCTCAGGGACCCCATCTCTCCACTGCAAGGGCTGCTTCACAACAGATGCGTGATGACAGAATGAATATGCAGAGTGCACCAGTGACGGACTTCAGGAGAGAACAAGCGAGTGTGTGAGTTTAAAAGTGCGTGAATGACTGACAGACAGACATAAGGAATGAGGTGACTTCCCGTGGGAGAACGAATGAGGGCGTGACTGAATCTATGGCTACACAAACCCCCCCAAACCTGACAAGGCTCAAGCACCACACAGCAGCGCTCAGGATGGCTGCAGTGACCTGGCTAGGCCCACACCTTCCCCGGGACCGTGCAGGATCTAACGAACCTCTTCAAGGTTGGAGGGAAAGGAGGGGGAAGTGCCACGACAGAGATGAATTTCACCAAATCCAGCACGTTTCTCACTGCCAATTAATTAAGCAAACCTCAGAGATGAAGCCAGGGCAGTAAATCAGGAGGGGGAAGGCTGGAACTCTGACATTATCCAGTTAGGCCGTGATCCGTGCCTGGTGAGTTGGCGGCTGGCAAGAGCCCCGGGGCACTGCGCTCCCTGACTCCGCCTTCGCCAGCCTGTCACTCTGTGGTTCCCACAGTCCAGCCCAGGCCCGGGCCTCTCCACCTTCCTAAGCACTGGCAGCGGCCGACCTCCCCAGAGCCTCTGAGGCCAGCACGAGCACCCTGGACCACAGAAGGGGGCAGATGTCAACAGGACCCAGAAATGGGACACAGGTGGAGGGTTGAGGAGGTGAAAGCCCTCTTGGGTGTCTCCCAAACTTCTCAAAACTTCGGAAGCAACACGATATGGAAGAAAAGAGTGTGGACACGGGACTCATAATATCAGATTTTAAGTCCTGAGTCTACACAATGGTTAATAGCCCAGGCTGGCTCTGGCCCAGCAGAGCTGGAATTAAATCACTGTCTGGGCCACTGATGAGCTGTGTGCCCTTGAGCAAGTTGCTTCGCTTCTCTGAGTCTTCCTTCCTTCTTCCATAAACAATAGGGGCTAATAAGAGCAAGGAATGTAGCTGCAGCACAGAATAAATGACCTGATGAAGAGGGGCTTAGCAAAGTGCTTGCCGAAAGCAAGTATTGCCTTTCTGCTAGTTAGGGTCCTATTCATCATAACCCACTATGATGCCTCATAACCCACTAGAACAGGACTCCGCAAGCAGTTTCCAGAAATGACCAGATAGTAAATATTTCTGGCTTTGCAAGCTCTATGGGCTCTGTTGCAACTACTCAATTCGGCTGTTGTAGCGTGAAAGCAGATACAGACAACACCTTAACAAATGAGCATAGCTGTGTTCTAATGAAACTTTATGGACTGGAATTTGAATTTCATGTAATTTTACATGCGATACAAAATGTTAGTTTTCTTCAGATTTGTTTTTCAACCATTGAAAAATGAAAAAAAATATTCCTATCTCATGGGCCATACGAAAAGAAGCAGCAGGCTGCAAGTGCCCCATGGACATAATTTACCCCCCAGAACTAGAATGTAAGCTGTATGAAGATGGAGTGTTTAGTCTGCTTTGTTCACTGCTATATTCCCACACCTAAAACAGTGCCTAGCAAACAGCAGATGATAAATATTTGCTGAATGAATGAATAACATGCTATGTGATTCTATTCAAGAAGTCATTTCACCTCTCTGGGTCTCAATTTCTTCATCTGTACAATGGGGATACTTTTAAGATTGAGGTAAAGCATCAGATGATATTAGAATCCTTATGGAGTCACTTTGCAAGCTCTGTAATTGCTGTACAATGTAGTTTTGCTTCTGACCACCCAGAGACCCTTCTCAGGGTAAGTTTCATTCCTACCCAGTGCCTGGCCCAGAGGAGATATGAGTGTTTGTATATCATAGGCAATCTGACTTGGAGGTGTGGAATGCCCAAGTAGGCTACCATCGCTTGTGCCAGTTGAGGGGTGGGGGATTAGGACATTAGGCAGGAGTAGCAAGTTGGTCTGGGTTTAAAATGCAGGGACTTTTTTGGTGCTTTCAAAATATCCTTTAAACTAGTGCGGCAGTGAGGTAAACTGGGTGTTGGAATCATAAGGCTGGGTCCAAATTTGGGCTCCAACTCTTACTAACTATGTGATTTTAGGCAAGTCACTTAAACCACTTGAGACTTTATTTCCTTTTATTCAAAAAGGAGATATTAATAGTGCTCCGCTCACAAGGTATGTTAATGAAGGGGCAAATGTAATGGGCTTGCTGAGCACCTAGCACATAGTAAGCACTCAGACCATGAGCATCCCTTCCTCCTCTTGTTCAGCTGGGCAGGGTCTGATTAGCAGGCCAGGGCCAGCCATTAAAGGACTCTGGCATTTGAGCAGCATCAGATAGGTAGAAGGAAAAATTGATTCCAGTTATCCCAGTTGTAGGTCTTCAAGCTCTAAACAAAAAAGCTCTGCATTTTTTCTTCCCTGAATTAAAAACTTCCTGGTGCACTGCAAACTCATGAAAGCCAAGCAATCTACTGCTCTTTGAGGACTGGTGATACCAAGGCCCTTCTATCCTCTCCTCCCTTTCTCCCTGCCAACCAGGCAAGAAACATGAGAAACAAACCCCATTTGGCTATTTGGCCACTATCCAAGGAAGTAGTTTTATGAGAGAAGAGAGGGAATTATTCAGCACATGAAGCTGAAGATGCTCAATGCATTCTTTCATTGAATCCATCTGTCTGTCTGTCTCTCTCACCACTCACCCTACTCCTCTATTTTGGCATCCAAAGAAATACACCCATAGGTATGTCTGCTCACACAATCAGACAATGTGCTGGAATGGAGAGAAGTGTAGTTGCTTTCAGTCTTGGAAGACCTGGGCTTGGCTTCTTGTTCTTCCATTTTGTGGCTATGTGATCCTGAGCAAATCATTTCCCTCCTCAGCGCCTACTTATGCATTGAACAGCAGGACCAAGGCATGCGCACGGATCTCTCACCTCCAAATGCAGTGCTGATAGCAACCAGATAGGAAGCAAGGGCTCCAGCCCAGGGAAAAGGGACACTGGGTCCAAAGAACTGGCACTAACTCCTCTACTGCCTTACTGTGTGACCTTAGGAAAATTATTTCTCCATTCTGATCCACCACTTTCTCATCTGTAAAATGAGCAGATTCCCCATCCTCACTCCACCCTCAACTAACAACATCTTTAAGTCCATGATCCTAGAACTGTCATGGTAATAAAAGAGACAGGGTAGAAATTAAGATGAACATGTGTCTAGGAGTTCAAGCGAAAGGGAGGAGGCTGGGGGTCCTGTGGGGTTATCTGAGCAGCCAGGAACAGACTGCAGGACACGGTCACAGAGGAAGTGACCTCTGTGCAGTGTGCTTGCCCCACCCCCATTTAGACCACCCACAGGAACAGACTCAGGTCCAGCCCCAAATCCTGCCAGCACCACAACTATAGTAGGATACACCAGACATTTCCGCTTCTTTATATAAGAAGTTTCAGCATCTTTCCTTGAAACTTGGTTGGCAAATCCCCAAACATTAGCCCCAGCCTCCCCAGCTCTCCCAGCTAGAGTCCCTCAGGGCCCATCTGTAGGTTCAGATCTTCAGCCCTACAACCCGGGCAGGGGGTAGTGGGCGGGTGGAATTAGTCATGTCGCCCTAGGCTGGGCTTGAGTTGAGGCACTAGGGCCTGTCAGGCCACCACATTCCTCCTCTGACTCCACCCTACCATGTTGGCCCAGATGCACTTGGACTGTGGCTTTAGTCTCCCTCGCCTGAGCATCTAGTCCTCAGTGGAGAGGGAGCCCGCCCGTTTGCCAATGCACCCAGTGCCCACCCTGGTCTTCCCTGCTGTATCCCCCCAGAAGCTGAACCCTCTTCCTTCTGCTGAGGTCCTGCTGTGAGTGAAGAACTGACCACTGTGAACCTCCACACCATTGCCCCCAACTTATCACCCTCCTGCTGTGTTCCACCCACAGGACTCTCCTAGTTGGGCACCCCAACCAAGAGGTGCTGAGTCCCCCTCGCCCTGCCTTTCCTGGTCAGGCTCCTCAGTCCCCTTCCCCTTCTGCCTTTTCATTAATTCCCATAGTCAAGGTCCAGCCACCCCATCTGGCACCTGGGAAAAGTAGGGACTCAGGGGCCACCATGAGACCTGCCTCCACCCCCAGCCAGCCCAAGGTCCTCAGACATCACCCAGCCATCTGCCCTTACCTTCTCCAGCTGGTGGACCCCCTCCTCCACGCAGCAGATGGAGGCCAGCGTGCGGAGCGCCTGGGGGTACAAGCACCGGAAACTGTCCTGCCGGCAAACCTTGAAGAGTGCTACGACCCCACCCTCCTGCCAAGAAAAAGAAAATGTGACATGACCTCACGTGTGACCTTCCCTGGGGCTGACTCCAGAATAACTGGCATCCGTCCTTCAGCAGATGTGCTTTCAGGTCCTCCCTCCCCACCCCACCCCCCCACACACACACATGCACGTTCACATGCTTACACGCTCACACGCATGCTACAGTGAAATGCTGGCTCCAGAAATAATGTCACCCTTGACAGTCCACGCTGGAGGTGGGATTGCCTAAATGCTTCTGGGGCTTTGTGGCAGGGCCAAGTCAGGCATCTTTGCTAGAGCTGTGGAGCAATGCCATTCAACACGGCTCCCCATTCAACACAGCTCCCGGACACCTGGTGGCTCCCTCTGAGCAGCTCCCCATGGACCAAGCCTGGAGCCCAGAGAACAGGTCCCGGGAACAAATCTGAGGCAGGCATAGGGCACTGACTAGACGCTCAGTGCTGCTCCTTGCTCTGCCAGCGATCGCCATGCTACCCCTGAGATCCTCCCAACCACTGCAGGAGGCTGACAAAAAACATACTTTTGGTATCATAATGTATTTCCATTTTGTGATGGAAAATCTGAAGTCCAGATGGGTAAAATCATTTACCTTAAACCCACATTGTCATTGTTTTCAGTCCTTTACTCCTATTTGTAAAAGGAGGGGGGGGGGAGAGAGAATCCTTTAGGAACAATCACCCAGCTCTTGAATGTGAGCATGTGCTCTTCCTTTTGCAAGCTCTGTCTATGGAAACTTCTTTGCAGTGGAGTGTTTGCCACCTGGCAAGAATCTGGGAGTGAGGAACTCTCCTCCAGGTACCTGATAACTAGTCATATTATTCTATAGTAGTCACTGGAGCCTGGAGCCTACCTTAGCTCTGGGAGCAAAATGAAAGAGCCAACAATCACAAAAGGGCCTCACCATGGTGCCCCGCAAACCGGTGGCAACTCTACCTCGGGCAGCCAGACCAGGAGAAGCTAGGTACCCTGCATCTGGCTTTGTCTTGCTCCCTCTGTCTCCCCTTCCCTGGGTTGTAGGAGTAAAGAGTGCAGGAGCAACCGATCTGAACTGGGCCTCTAGGGGCACTCGCCTTTAATCTCATCACTCCTGGGTCTAACTAAGCGCATTGCATCTGTTTCCAAAACTGAGCAAAATGTTATAGGAAGATGATGAGTTCAGCAAAAGACCACCCTCTATCAGATTTTTGAGAACTCTGTCAACAAAATCACTGCTGAGCACCGACTACGTGCAAGGCTTTGTTCTGTGTGCTGAGGATGCCGCAGTGAATTACTGAAAAACTAAGGGATGAGCAATTGGAAGAGGAAGCAACGACCACTATGGCCCAGCACAGGGTTACCAAAATAGCTCAACCTCAGATCTTCCCTTCCCCTACACCCCAAAAAGAGAGGCTCCTGGGCCTTTCTCATTGCTGTTGATCACTGCAGGGACCAAGACGAAGATGTCCAACTTGGGGAGGTGACATTTTCTGACATTTCATAATCAGTTAAGAGCAATTGTAAACCTTTATATTCCTGCTTCCTCCTGGAGTAGTTAACTTGATGTGAAGGGGGCATATGTTAGGGCTGACAAATTCATCCATGCATTGAAAAAATACTCATGGTTTAACGTGCCAGACACTGTGCTGGGCACTGAGCAAGACTGCCTCAGTCCCCGTCCGTACTGAACTCATGGTCTGGCAGGGAAGGCAGACAATTACAAATGTAGGGACAAAACTGGGTGGAGGTGCAATGAAATGGGTTTGGGTGCCAGGTTAAGGGAGCACAGAGCAGGAGCCCCTAACTCCTGGGGGTACAACAATCTGGGAGGGGTTTGTAGAAGGGTCAGACAGAACCACCCTGACATTAAACACACATCATTACTCCAATAAAAATATGTCTGGCATGAGACAGATGCCTGCCCCTCGGGTTCCTTGTTCCACAGTCCCTCCCCCCTGCTTCCCTGTTTCCCACAGCTCCTGGGACATCTGCGTGAGGGTTGCTCATGGAGACCTCACTCAGAGAGTCGCTGAAGCAAAACCAAGTTACTCTTTAAAATGAGAAGAAAAGAAACGGGAGTCCTAAACTCTCCTCAGCCAGCCCTGCTGGTTGTTAATAGCCCCTCTCCAGATGTAAATATATGTACATATACACAGATGTGCATTTATACATGAGTGCTTATATTTATAATCATATAGTATAAATATCATTTCTATATATATGTAGAGAGAGGAGATTGTTAGATGATTGATGGGTAGATATTTGCATCTGGAGCAGACAATGAAGAAACAGCGCCAAAGAGCATGAGGCCAAGAGCCAGGGTGGATGTGGCAGCCCTCCTGTGGCTCGGGAGGCACTGAGCCCAGCACAAAGCACAACTATATTTAGGCCCCTGCATGCATTTGCACTGGATTCTCATTATATCTTCCCCAAGCCTGTGAAAAATGGCCTTCCTAGCATTTTTATCTGATGGGAAAGGAAGGGGGAAATTCCTGGATCCAGACTAAGGGGATTCTAGTCTAAATCCTGGCTCTGCTGCTGGTTCCCTTTGGCTAAAAATGGGATATGGCAGCTACATGACTGGGCTGTTGGGGTAACAATTGAATTAACCTATGTGGAAGGGTCTAGTACCCAGTTCTGGCCAGTGGGGTGAGGGTCAGGCTATGGCAGGCTTCCTGGTTAGGAGAGTGTCTCACACTCTCGTGAAAGGTGCCCCCAGGGCTGGGCTATGTAGGAGAGGAGAGCAGGCAGGAGCCACAGAGGAAGTAAGATGGAATGGTCTCATGGACCACTCTGGAGCCCCCATTCAAGATCCAAGAACAGCACTTATCCTAGAGTAAAGCTGGGAATCGCCTGAGCTAGCAGAATCACTGTTGGCTGTAGCTTGTTTAATTTTATAGAAAGCTCTGGGCTCAGAGCCCAGCTATATAACAGCATGAATTATTCAGACAGACTGGGGATGAGCTGTCATTAAGCTGGAAGAGACCATTTGTAGGGTGTGTGGGCTGGTGGTGGAGGAATAACAGAGGAACTGGGGGTGATGAGACACTGGGGAGTATTCTGTGTTCTGCACTATGGCAGGGATGGGGTTTGCCACCATCGTCATGGGAATGCCTAAGCTTATCCCTTGGTCTTCAGAGGAACACAAGAGGCTGAGAGGACAGACTTCAGCCAGGCTGCCCAAGCTCCCTCTGGGAGGCAGCTCAGATAGATGAAGGACTCAAAGAATGACCACAGTGAGCCCTAAAAGAGATGGCTGAGGAAGGCCAGTAGGGGGAACTTCCCCACATCTGTCATCACATTGGGCACCTCTACTGAGCACCCAAGGTGAAGATGCCATGCAGGGTGTGCCAGGGACTCTCAATTCCTGAGTCTCTGGCAGGATCAGAAGCCCAAACACAGTGAGTCTGCTGGGGGAACTAGTCTCTCCACCTTCCAGGCTGGAAAGATGGAAGTCCTCACTGAATCTTCTCTCTGCTTCAACCCTCCATCCACTCCCATCTCTAGGACCAGAGATACAGAATGTTGAGATTGAGATTCCGGAGTCTGTAGACCTAATCACAATCCCAGCTATGCATTAATATGTGTGACCTTGGAAAAATTATTTACCTTCTTTCTGAACCTCTGTTTCTTCATCTTAAAAGTAGGAATTATAATATATCAAAAGACTGTGGGAGCATCAGATGAGATCATGAGTGGAAAGTTTAGCACAGTGCTTGAGTAAAAAAATGGGCATGGAATGTGGGTGGGAGGAAGAGGGTGAGAAGGAAGGAAGGTAAGAGGAAGAGGAGGAGGAGGTGATGCTGAAAGGCAGTTCAGAACAGTAACCAAGAGCATAGCCTTTGCTGCCAAACAGCCAGGTTCAAATTCCAGTTGTCACTCACTAGCTGTGGACTTTCTCACTGTCTCAGCTCTCCAACCTATAAATGGGGGCAAACACTGTCTACCAGAGAGGACTGTTAGGGGGGTTAATTACATTATTATGTCTAAGCCCTCAGAACATTATCTGATACATAGTAGGTGCTGTACAGATGTTTATTTTTTTATCACTCCTGCTACTACAGCTATCATCATCACCCTCATCATCAAAGTTGGCCACTTCCAGCTTCAGGAATCTCAGATCCTCCCATTTTCCCCTCACTGCTGCCAATGTCCCCAACCCTGACCTTTGCCAGCCTGAAGTGGGCAAGCTGATCATGTGCAGTGCACCAGGATCAAGGAAAGAAGAAATAGTGATTACATGGTAAACAGATTTGTTGTGGCAGGAGTATTGCCTGGAAAGAGAAGGACTCTATATTTTAGTCAGTTAGACTGGTGACATGGGAAGAGCACTGACTCCAGAGCTCAACGAATCTGGTTTCAAGTGTCAGCTGCTCAAGGTAGTCAACCTCTGTGAGTCCTGGAGTCCTCATCTGTAAAACAGGGTCACCGATGCCCATCTCAGAGTGGTGCATGTGGATGACATACAGGCCTGGACGCATAAGAAGCCACCAATAAATAGTAATTCTTATTGTTGTTGTTAATACTCAGGGCGACTCATGTATTTTCTTGATAGGCTCTAGAGGGGTGTGGCCGCTATACACTCAAAGGATCATTCCAAATCTTTAAACAACCACTGGGCGTGGTTCTTGAGAGCCCAGTGCTCCTGGTGGGGTGTGATAGGAATAGATAAGTAGCTGAGGACAGGGTGGAACAGGTGAGGAGCCTATAGACAGAAATGGAGGAAGTGATGACTCAGTGTAGAAAATAATTCACCTTAACCTTCTGTTTAAAAATGGGGTAGTATAAAATTAAAATTGCATCCTTACTTTCCACATAAAAACAGCAAGAAAGTGAGGCAGCTTGGTAGATCTGGAAAGTCTTATAAATATCGTATGACCTCCTCAGGTCGCAAAGGAGAAGCTAATCGTCCTGTGACCTGGTCAAACTTGCCAGTGAGCTAACAGTACAGCAGGGACAGGAGCCACCCTCTGGTCCCAATGCAGGCCTGTCTCCCCTGCTTTCTATCACTG